TAGAGTAAATATATTTTTTTGTTTGGAACCAAAATTAATACACATCATTAACGTAAATTTTTTGGTATAATTTTGGAGAAGTACTGAAAAATGTTAACAAAAATGGATGTAAATAATGACTATCACGTACCGATTTGGTGTACTTGTGATGAAATATGCACAAGTATTGGTAATAAATGAGGGGTATATACTAGATGATATTATGGTATAATATACCAGCCTGAAACATTGAATACCCTTAAAGCTAGTTAAAGTGAAAAGTTTGGTTTATATTAGACATCATTAACGCAAGAAATTATGTATAATAATGATAAAAATGTTTAAAATAATGGTTGCACTATAAATACCCAGCACATACACAATTGGTATAGTTGTGTAAACAAAAATAATAGTAAACATTGGTGTATATAGTGGCTGATATTCTGGTAATTTATACCTACACGAAAAAATAAATGATTCTGTTTTGAATGAAATGTTGGTATTACATGCCCACATCATACATCGAATCTTTTAACTACTACTTACGTTAAAACATGTAATAATGCTGGCATACAGTGTTTGACATATTGGTATTATATACCAATCTCACACATAGTTATATTATATACCAAAAACACACATTTTTGGTTTATAACAAACTCACAATAAGTTCTCACAAGAAATTAACCAACATAATGAACCAAATAAAGGTAGTTAAACTCCAAAATTAACACAATATCCAACAATGATATTCTGGTAATATATACCAACAGGAAACATTGAATATGAAGAATATGAAGAGCTTAGACGCTTGGCAGTTGAAGGAAATTTCCTACAAACTATAACTCACCTATGGCTACATCAACTTTATTGGTAACACAAAAAGTTATATAAAAAAAGAAAGAAAATAAATATGATCCCAATAATAATCAATGAAACCTGTAGATATGGAACTATAATAGGAGAGATAATATTGGAAAAATTTAATACCCTAATTATACTCCATATTAAATGCACGTTAATCAAAAAGCATGAGAGAGAAAAATCTGAAAAATAAATAAACTTAAAAACGAAAATTAATTAATTTGTTATGTATGTAATTTAAAAACTATGTTTGTAATTAAATAGAAGTACATTGATATTTTGTTAATTAAAGTCTTAAGTAGTATACTTTTGTAATTTTCACTTCTTTGAAACTACCGTTATTTTATATGAATAGTGGGAATATATTATAAGAAGTTGCTCAATTAATTTTCCATATCATTTTATACATTTACAAACAAAAGGGTCAACAATATTCTTACAATAACCAATACTTATATTTTTCAATTACACTAGCAATGTAATGACCCTCTTGGTGATTTCTGTGTTTTGCCTTTTGTGTGTCGTTTAGAGCATTCCTGTAGCGACCCAAGTCATTTATGACTTGCTGGGAGACAGTTCGGTCACCTGGTCGTTCGTTTGGTCTTGGTGCGAGTTTTTGTGTTTTGGAGCTTATGAACCTTGAACGATCATTTTCGATCAAAAGTTCAAGAAGATGACATCGAAATTCATTTCTGACGATTCCATCAACTCCGAAAGGGTCATTTTAGGCTAGTAGCATGGTCGGCATGACTCCCGAGGTTTTCTGAGTGAGTCGGTGCGATTAGGCGTTTTAACTTTATATAAGTTTAAGCCTAAGTTTGACTTTGGTCAACATTCTGAGTAAATGCGCTCGGATGAGAATTTCGTCAGTGCGGTTAGCTCCGGAATATCAAGTTTGGTCTAGATGGACCTTTCTTTTGTGTCTCAAGATTTTCGATATTTTTCTGAGCTCTTTTGTGGTTTTTGACTTAAAATGGCATTTGCTTGTGGGACCCACTTTTTATCAACATGACCTCGTATGTAAATTTTGATTGTTCCATTGAGTCCGGAATATCGAATTTGGTATGATTGCATATCTTGTTTGCGTGCACGGGGTTCCGAACGAGTTCGGAGCACCCCGTCGGAGGTTTTAATTTTGGGAAAAAATTGCAGAAAATCTGCTATATAATCAGATATATCAGCAATATTTCCCAAACATAAAACCCTCATAACTCTCTCATTTCAAGTCCAAATTCAGTGATTCAAAAGTTCATTTTGTGGGGGTTTTCGCAAGGAGCGTGTTGGTGAGCTCGGAAACTGATTTGGGGTCTCCGTTTGAGGTAAATTTCGTAAAATACCTGCTGCCACGACCCCTTTTTGTGAGCTTGATTTTGGAAGTTTTGAAAGTTGTTTTCTCAACCATTTTAGGTCCGATTTCAGTGATTCTTGAGGCTATCTTGAGTGGTTTTTCGAGGAGAATGTCGTGGTATTGTCGAAATTCACTATAGACCTCCTGTTTCTGGTAAATTTACTGATTTAGCTGCTGTCCCAATTCTAGTTCTTGAGAAAATTTGGGTTTAAAGAGCAATTGTATAACTAATGGTGCATAAAGAGCAATTGTATAACTTGACATATAGACATAGTAATTTTAGATTCGTACAATTAGTTTAAAATGTTTATATATGACATGAAAACTCAAACATAAAATCTCACAACTGTTAATTATTTACAAAAAAGAAGAAGTCTAAAATATGAAGAAGAAAATGGAAGATCTAAATATTCAATAAAATAAAGTGTATCACAACTCTTAATTATTTACAAAAAAGGAGTCCTGCTCGTTTACCATTACTTGTCCAACCTATATGAAGAAGAAAATGGATGATAATCTTTTATGTACACAAATTGTCATGTAAAAAGATGGAACTTTTTTTTACATTTTTTTGGATAGGGGGCGTGGTAAAAAAATTTTAATGGAAAAAATTTAAAATTTTGTTGATATTTTTTTGGGATGGGGTGT